TTAAAGGAGGTGACTGTTAATGGGTATAGGTTTTTTTTTTTTTTTTAAATATATTTTATTGATTTTTTTGCAGAGATGGAGGGAGAGGGATAGAAAGTCAGAAACATCAGTCAGCTGCCTCCTGCACACCCCCTACTGGGGATGAGACGGCAACCAAGGTACATGCCTTTGACTGGATTTGAACCTGGGACCCTTCAGTCCGCAGGCTGATGCTCTATCCACCGAGCCAAACCAGTCAGGGCTCTCGCTTATCCTTGATGTCTCTTATCTCTCTCTCTCCCTCTCTCCCTTCCTCTCTGAAATCAATAAAAAAAAATCTATAATAATAAAAGCATAATATGCTAATTAGACTGGACAGCCGAACGACCTCCGGGACAGAAGCCGGGGCTGCGAGGGCCGAGCCCCTTGCACAAATGACCTTCGGGACAGAAGCCGGGCTGCGAGGGCCGAGCCCCTTGCACAAATTTCATGCATCTCACCAAGCATCCCAAGTTCACGTGGGACGGGATCTGGGAGGTGTGTGGCTTTGCCCCCTGTGAGCGGCGTGCCATGGAGCTGCTTAAGGTCGAGAAGGACCAGAGGGCCCCGAAGTTCATCAAGAACAGGGTGGGGACACACATCGGTGCCAAGAGAGGAGCTGAGCGACGTCCCTGCGGCCGTGAGGAAGGCAGCAGCCGAGAAGGACGGAGCCCCATCCCCTCTGTGTAACAAAACCTGTTCAGAGAGAAAAAATGAAAGAAGAGCCCGAGGCAACTGGCCCAGATCCATGCGCTGCCCACATGCCAGGCCGGCGCTGGGCTGGACGGACTGCCCCAGGGCCCAGCCGGGGAGGGAGAACAGCTAAACCACAGGCATGTATACAACGTGCCCGCCACCGTGGCGTCACCAGTCACTGGGAGCCGCCAGTTAAAATGTCTCCTCTCTCTTATCTTCTCTTCTTCAGCTTCAGAAAACCGTACGCTTACACTAATATTTGTTTCCAAAGGTCGCTCCTCCCGCCCACACACTGTCCCTCGTCGGGTCATCATGGGAAAGTCTGGGGGTAAGGTGACCGGCTACAATGGACGCAGGCTCGCTCTGCAGGCGAATTCCAATTCCTTCCCTGGCGCTCACAGCCGACAGGAATCAGGCCTCCCGCCCACGGTGATGTAGACAGAACTACATGAGCTAACCTGCTACCAGGACGGGGCTAGGAGGGTCTGGCACACAGTAGGTCCTCAATAAAACGTGAGGACCTAGTGTGTGCCACACAACAGCCTCAGCAGTTCCGAGGCATCCAATTGACAGCAGAGGAAACGAAGGCCCAAGAAATCGCCTGAAACAGAGTGGGGAGTCTCAGCAATATATTTCATACAACACAGAAGGGAAGAAAAGGACCTTGTATGCATATATGTGTAACCCAAGGACACAGACAATGGGGCAGGGCAGGCTGGAAGGGGTCCATGGGGGGCGGGGAGGGGATTTATGTAATACTTCCAAAAATAAAAAATTTTAAAAAAAAAGAAATGAAAGCAAGGAAAAGAAATCGCCTGAGTTTCCCAGGATCCCATAGTTCCTGGCGAGCAGTCCCGGGTCCTCTTCCTCCCGCAGACCCCGAGTCTGGAACACGGGGAGCACGCCAAGACGCGCAGACTCCACGGGGTTCGTCCCAGCGGCTGCCCGACTCACCTCCACTGCACACTAAGCTCTCTGAGATTCTGACGGTTGTCGTTTTGTTTTTAATGCTCAGAGTTCTGAAGAGCCTGTGTCCTGTTCCTTTCTCCCTGTGAGTCAAAGAGTCATGCGTCCACTGGCTTTGAAACTAGAAAGGACTAGCCCTGGCTGGTTTGGGCTCTTGGCTCAGTGGATAGAGCTTCGGCCTGCGGATCAAAAGGTCCCCGGTTCGATTCCGGTCAAGGGCACAGGCCCGGGGTGCAGGCTCGATCCCCAGTGGGGGGCGTGCAGGAGGCAGCCCATCCGTGACTCTCATCATTGAAGTTTCTAGCCTCTCTCTCCCTCTCCCTTCCTCTCTGAAATCAATCAATAAAAAACTGGAACAGGGCTCGGATAGGCTACGAAGCTTGTGTTGTTTTCGTTGCATAAAAAAAAAACAACAAAAAAAAAAAACAGAAAGGACTAGACTCAAATTCAGCTTCTAAAACTTTAGAAACGACCCATCTAATTCTCAGTGGCGTTATCCAGAACGCTAAGCCGTGAGGGGATTAGAGGAAGGGTGTGGAACGCCCGGAACATCGCACCTGTCCGATACAGGAGCCTCATCGCCAGACCCGGAGGACGCCTTAAACCGGATGAACTACGCGCCGGAAGGAGCTGGGTTTGCACGGTTGTTGAGTTTACACGGTTGTGAGACACAGCCAAGTTCCCTGGAGTCAAATCCAGCAGAACGCACACCCTCCCTTCCATTCCCGTCCCCGCAAACAGATGCAACCGCACCTTGTCCTGCCTCACCTGCCAAATCAAGGACCCGGGAGGGAGGGGCGGGATTTTCACTTAAAATAATAAAGATAGAAGCAATCCTGATACTGAGTGTTACCAAAGCTTCAAACCCCAGGTCCTCCTAAAGGGACCAGGGAGCTGCAAACAAACTAGAAATACAAAAGAAATGGGACGTCAAGACGGAGGAAACGGGGGAGCGGAAATGCCGCGGGCGACTTGCCCTTTAACGCTGAGCGCCCCGGGGACAGAAGGAAAAGGAGTAACAGGGAGGAGCATTAAGATGCAACGAGACTCGGAAGGTCGGTCGGTCGGTCGGTCGGTCGGGGCTAGGAGAAGGGGGCCAGAACTCGGTCGGGGCGAATTTCCGGTGGGAAATCCTACATGGTCAATAGCATCAGCAGTGTCACCAACCCCGAAACCCTGACACCGACCGCAGTACCGTTTTGCCAGGACGGGGAGCAGCAGTCGGTGTGAGGAGGGGAGGAGGGACTATGAGGGGAAGACGGTGGTCGCCCTAGAAGAGACGAAGGTCTGACCAGTGAGCAGAGACTGGGGACCCTGGCCCAGGTGGTGGGGGGGGGGAGATGGCTCCTGGACTGTGCACATCCCCTGCAGAGCTGTGACTT